CCCTAGCTGTGTATGTTAGGAATGCTTGTATGAACCCCATTTGCTAATGATTGATTTGATAAATTCAATTGAGAAATTATTCACAATTGCATGAGTCCTGATCAAACCTAAGTAATTCCGACTTTAACCTAGAACTGTAGTCTCTGCATAGGTGAAAAGAGCAACCTTTAATTGAAAGTGGTGAATCGAATGCTTTAGTCGAGAAGTCGATTCACTGCTCCATACTGGAGTAAGCACCAGTAGAGGAAGTTTCATGTGATTAACCTTGGTTAGTGTATGTCGGTGGAGGTTAGTCGCCCGCCGGGTATTCAAACCAAGAGGGTATGGATAACTTTAGTCGAGAGTCCAGACCAGTAAAGAACTTTCTGTGGTTTATCTGTCAATCTGAGTGAATTGAGAACGTATAACCTGAACTATTAGTTGCATACTAGGGGGAACCATACCCGGATGGCCTTTAGCACTTGAAAAGAACTAGAATATTACTTGCTTTTCATTTCTTTTACTTTGAAATAAATTCACTAATTTAGTCCCGCTAGATAATAGATGTTCACGGAGTAGGCAGTAGATCTAGAACCCAGGTCGATAATTTAACCTGAACCACTATTCTATATTTCTTTACTGCAATTATACTTGGTCGTATTTTTGTGTTGTGTCGTAACGTGTCAGTGTCGTTGTTGTATGATTAATTGTTGTTGATCCAGCTATTGTCGAAGGCTACTTGTGATTAGGTCCTTAAAAATCACCAGTCCTTCTGCATGAAAAATCTATTATATGTGAGGAAAGGGTTATTGTGTATCAGAGCTGAAGATATGGGTGAGAAAGCTTGATCGATTTGGATTAGGCTTTCTAATGCTTCGCTAGAGTATGTTACCTCGATGGACTAAGCAAGATTGCTAGCTGAGTGGATATCCCTTTGGTTGTTGATCAATCTACACATGAGGAAGGAAGTTAGGGTTTGTCAAAAGTGTTTGTTGAGCTTGAATCTGAGGGGCATTTCCTATTTCAATGTCCCTATGGCCATATGGTAAATAATTTATCGGAGTTAAGTATTACAATCTTCTCATAGTGTGTAGTAGTTTTCTTTTTTTTTTTTTGGACTGGTTGTGGATGTTTGCCAAAATCTGTTATGCGAGTATGGGTTCCGAAACAAAATAATGATGTTGAGGTTATGGAAAAGATTAGGGTAAATACAATTTAATATCCAAACCTTTCATTTTAAATAATATAATAGCCAAACCTTTTTGAAAACAATCTAATATCAAAATCGTCAACTTTCTGTCCATTTGAATGTCGGTTAACACTTCAAAAAAGCTTTGTTTAGGGGAAATTGTCACAATACAACTTTGTTTTCTTGTTTTGCCATTGCAGATGACTGAATATTTAGATATTCTATACCATCATGGTGGAGTCATGGACTTCTCGAGTTTGGAACCACGATATGTTGGTGGTTTTTCAGAGAAGATATCAATGGATATTGATGAAGCGTCGTACTTCGAACTTTTTTGAAGTCTCAACTAACGGTCAAATGAACTGAAAGTTGACGATTTGGATATTAGATTGTTTTCGAAAAGGTTTGGATATTATATTATTTAAAATGAAAGGTTTGGATATTAAATTGTATTTACCCAAAAGATTATGATAAGGTTCCAACGATAGAGGAAATAAAGAAGTTGTTAACTCTCATGTTGACCCCAAGTTAGAAGCAATGGTGGGTTCTTCTTCATTGTTAGGGGTGTTATAGACTCCACCAGTGGTAAATAGCAATGTATTAATCCTATAAAGAACAAGTTACTCAAGAGAGAAGGAGTTTCATAATATTGTTTGTGGTGCTCGCTCTCATGTTATATCTCCAAGGTCTAGTGGAGTAGAGTTGAAGTCTTTCTTTTTCTATCTTGAACTTTGGTGGTAAAGGAACCACGATCAATTTACAAGCTTCCCTGAGCAAAAATTTGAGGGTATAACAGGTTGTAAGAAGGGGGATTGATGATTTTCTGTCCATATAGATGGTTAACTTATTTTGCAATGTGAGGGGGTTTAATCATGCCTCCAAACATAATTATTTCTCTGAATTCTTACGTGCTAATAAGATAGATGTAGTAGTTATTATTGTTAGAATTACACTTAATATATCTAATTTCTTAGAAAATTCATCTTGTCAGATTATTAAAGGTTAATAGGAGTATCTGGATTCATGTTGTAAATCATCTCGATTTTGAGGCAGAAACCGGTGGATGATCTATGACCAGACGATACTTCTAAGAGCACGACCTGGGAGATAGCTTATTCCTCAACCAAGCCTCATTAGTTCACTAACAGGAAACCTATGATCTTCTTGATGGGGATGAGAAGAGAGTTGTGTTGGTCCTGGTGTATTAGGGACCACAAACTCAAGGTTCCTTTATATACTAGTCACCATAGGCTCCCATAAGACCCAAGGTGAGCAAGTATTGGGTTTCCACCCATTGGACGCATATTGGCTTGAGTATTCATGGGCCACGTAAAAGTGATCACTTAATTTAGCCCATCTAAGTAAATAACACTTTAGTGTGTTAACAAATTGATGGCCCACATAAGTTAGGAAACGAATTTCCCAACAATTATATTAACTAGAATACATAGAAAAGACGCCAAAAGTGTTTGGAGAGTTAGTGATAACACTCAAATTAGTGTTATTTGGAATCCATATTTAGGTTTGTTTCAAGTCATTTATGTTCTTTATTGTCAACATATCGTCACATATGCCCTTGACTTGCTCCTTAGATAGAAATATCGCTACTGTAGGGTTTAATAGAAGATATGTATATTTTAGGTACAAAAAATGTGCACAATTGTATAGTTATGGACAAAAGCAGAGAGATCACGGTTGAAGGCAGGGAGATCATGACCGCGAAGTGAGGGCGTGAACCAAGGCTCAAAGATTCAGCCATCATAGTCGAGATTGCGACCGTAAAGTATAGAGCAGAGGGCTCGAACTCTAGGAGAAGCCAAAAAGTCTCGCCCATCGACTCACGGCCCTCGTTAGACCTGCTTGCGATAACGTTTGTGCTTGCGACATCCAATATTGGGACCGCGATGTTGGAACGTGAACTTAGCTAACATCAAGGCGTAAAGGACAATTCAAAGATCGCGGACTCAACCCCCTAGATCACGACCGTGAACTTTGCCTCTCTGGTCGTGAACTTGCCCAAAAACTAGAAATCTATATATAGGGGGTTCTTTCCCCCACACAAAGGAAAGATTGAGAATTTATGGTTTTAAGAGAGAGAAAGTTAGATAGAGAAGCTGAATGAAGGAGAAGAAGAGAATAAGGAAGGAAGCTCTACCACATCAAGACTTATTCTATGTTCTTACATGTATCTTCTTCCCCGTTTAAGTGGTAGTTCTCTAAGGTACTAAAGGTTAAACCCCCCAAACCCAAGATTTAGGTTTTGAATGTAGATGTAATTCTGTTAGGGTTTATAAATGGATGTGTTTGTTTTAGTGAATTTATGCTTTATTTATGTTTGATTATGCTTGGGTAAGTCGTTCAACTCTTCCCTACTAGCCTACAACTAAGTTTAACACTAGGTGAAAATTTTAGGGTTATACTAGGTAGCGCCAAATGGCTAATCAAGGATAGATGAATGATCTTTGGGTTCCTTAGTGGTCGTAGCGACCGAACCCCTGGAATAGGAATGCCCTCCTAAAACAATGCTAGATAGGTCGCACGCGTTCTGATCGAAGCACGTATCTAGTATGCATGATAGGTTAAACCTATTGAGGGTAATTATGAGAGAAACCCTAGCACATAAACTTAGACTGAGACTGAGGGTACATTGGTTCTCTGTGGGCGGTGTTAGGAGGAGGGAGAGTAATTATTGAAATCCCCATATTAGAGAGTTATGCATCCTATCCCATAAACCTAACACAGTTAGTTGTTTACATGATGAACCTAGTTTAGGGAGAGGGTGACACCCCAAAGTACCTTGATTTTATCTTTGCTTCTTTCCACCAGTATTTTTCAATCAACTTCCAGCTCAAATATCTAAATTGGTTAACTAGATAACAATAAATTGAGAAGTGACCTAGGGTATCAAGACCAGTGGAATACAACCTTGGTAGCCTCTATACTAGAAATGTCATTCTGATTTATACTTGGCTCAGAATGGGGTAGTTAGATATATGTGCAAACGATTGATACAACCTGCATGGTGTAGTAGCACACACCAAATTTTTGGCGTCGTAGCCAGGGAATTTCGATACCTAGTTGAAAATATAGATTTGTTACTTTAGTATTACTTTTACGCTTATATATAAAGTAGTCTATCTTAGTTAACTCTTATTATCCCACTTTGTACGTCAAGGGTGTTTGAGTCTTTGTCTTGTAGTTATTTTGTATGCGAAGGACATATTCTCTAATCATAGTATCACTTGATACTGAGATCGAGAGAACCCTTCGAGGCCTAAGAAAAGCGACGAGACTCCAACCACAACCAATGGTGGAACAAGTACCACCTTAGCATCAACCTCAGCCTCAACCCACTACAGAAAAGATTGTCACTAGTGACAAAAGATTTTCGTCGGTAAAGGCCAAATGTCGTCAATGTGCTTTTGCGACACCAAGAGCCGTCGCACGCCGTTCCAAATACTGGGGTCACAAAAACTTTCTTCATGACGAGCCGTCGTAAAAGCTTTTTTGCGATGGGTAGGCATCATCTCTAATGTGTCTTCAAATTGACAAAATACATAGCCTTTGTTTTTGTGACGGCTAAGAATCATCGGGGAAAAAATAATAATCGTGTCGGTAATAAATTCAGTTGACGAAGATTGACAACGTTTTCATCTTTGTTTGATGGCACATAGTCCTCGATAAAGAAATAATATGATCGATAATAGAAAATTTTGGACGATGTTTAATGGTATTTGGAACCATTGAACATCGTCACACATTATATTTACTATGAATGTATCGTTATCACTTTTTCTGATGAAATGTGATTGTCATAAATATTTACATTTGTGATAAAGAATAAAATATATTGCTGAAAATCATGCAATCCGAAAGTTTTAACATTCTAAATATTCTAAATAACGAATATTTTGAATGACCAATATTTGATAAATACAAAATAGAGAAATATGAAATCCAAGTACAGCAAGTCCAAAATAAAGAAGCAAAATATCAATCTTGATTGCTCTTTTCTTGATCATCTGAGTCGTACCCTTAATTGTCATCTGAATCTTCTTCTTCATTACTTTTGTTCACCCTCTCGTGATGCTTGCGTTTATTTCCAGCATTTCCAACCTTACTAGACTTTCTCACTTCCCATCTAAGAGCACAACACATAATTAACAAGGTTATAAAGGAATCCAAAACAAAATGAACCCCATAATTCCAAAACATAAATTCAAAACAAACGTAAACCCATGTTCAATGATTTGTGTTATTCTTCTTGGCTTGAACAATATAGAATGACAAAACTTACCTATGTTTTGTTTCTTCCTCTTGTTCAAGAACCGAGAAAGCCAAACAAACGAAATTCAGAACCCTTGCCCTGCTTCTTCTACTTATTCAAAACCCAGAAAGACAAATCAAACGGACCCTATAATCTAATCAACGCGAACAAATTGACAGATTGCTGCAAAAAAAAATGACAATCACCACGTGTAAAACTAAGTGATTGATTCTCTTCCGATCGGCTACAGAGAGATCTGATTCGCCGGATTTGGATCGCCGATCCACCCCTGTAGCAGCTTCACCGGCTAGTTACACATGAGCATCGTCGATCTTCAAGACTCAAAATGGTCGCCGCCGAGCTCTCCTCCAACTGAGGCGCCAACTTCGTTCTCCTGCACCCATTGTGCCTAGCTCGATCCCTTTTCCAGAAGCAATAATCGACATAATCTCCATCTGACCATCTCCCTTCACCATAAAACCTAGAAACATAAACTAAAAAAAATAAAATACCCATAATCGAAAGCCATTATCGCACGACTTCTTCGTAGACACAAGGAACGGCGACAAATTTCTTCACCTCTGCTTATAGTAAAAAACCCTAAAAACTCAGGGGAAGGCAAATCGGAACCCTTGTGCCCATAAATCTCCGCCGTTCCTCACAGATCGGACAACTACTGGTGCACCTCACCACAACCAACAAAACAATCAACCCGCCGCCGCTCCTCCCTGTCGATGTTGTCTATAGATCAGTATCAAATATCAATACATGCAACGCAGAAAACAAATACAGAATCGGAGGGCAAAGCTCGCATGCAGAGGGAAATAGGCGAGCAACGGTGTCAGTGGCTGGAAGAAGGATGCAGGAGTTGAAAGAAGAGGAGGGGTATAGAGGAAGGAGGAGTAGCAGCAGTCGTTGGATATGTTTGCTAAGGAAAAGAAAAACTTAAGGAAGAAGAAGAGGCGGCTGCGTAGTGGGGAAGAGCATAAGAGGAAGGAAGGGTATAAAATTATAAATTAAAGCAGTGGCTCATAATCTTTTGGGAGACTTACTTCAATTGGAGAAGGGGATATGTTGGCGGGCTAAGCAAAATTTGGACGGGCGAGTATGTATGGGTAGGTAGATGTGGTTTAGTGGTTAGGATACAATGTATTGATGATGGTGATGTTATAGGGTATATGTTTATGATTTTTATTAGATTTTACAATTAAATTCATGACAAAATATATTAATTAACAAAATCAAAACTTATAAGATCAATTTTGTTTGGCAAAATTCATATGTATAGCCAAAATTTTGCCGTTTGTGACAATAATAGCCACTTTTGGGGAAATACCAATAATAGCCAGAATTTTGAAAGTTTGATGACATATATAGCCATTTCCATTACATAATTTGACGGTGTCAGTAACACCGTTAGTCAAATTAACAGAACGCTTACGTGACTGCCAACTCACCAGACACATCATCGACAACTCAACAAACCTTGCCACATGGATGCCATGTCATATTTTAATTTAAAAATAAATAAATAATAAACTAAAAATAAAATAAATAACAAATAAACTCAACTCAACAACACCGCCGCTCTTCTCTCCAACTCTTCCTCTACCCAATCGCCTCCAGATCCAATCGCCTCCTCCGCCCCCTCGGTGTCGCCGCCTCCTCCCTCTGTCGCACAATCGCCTCCTCCCACTAGTGGGTTTTGATGTCGAAAATGAAGAGGAGAAGATTGGGTTGTTGACGTAATCCATCAGAATTAGGGACGAAGGAGATGGCGGAGATTGTCGATGGAGGTTACGGATTGAATTAGGGATTGAGGAGATTGGCGATGGAATATGGGACTATGAGGAGATGAACTCCATGGTTTGGATGTTTGATTCTGGGGTTGGAGACTCTGGGGAACTCGATCTGTCTCCTCAAGACGAAAATGCTTCGTTGACGACGACAGCGGCGGGTCGTGCCTTTGCATCAACTCACGCTGACGAGCTCACACCAGTCGTTTCCAGTGCTCGCCGTTGGGTACCACCGGTACCAAATCCCTCCTATTGTCGTCAACGATCAGCATCACCACCCCCCCAGGCCTGAATTCAAGAATCTAATGAATTTGGGAGGAAGAACTAGGGTTCTTGAATTTGGGGGTTTTCAAATCCGAATCTGGGGTACAATTTCTTATAGACCAGGAGCGTTGGACATCATATTCAAAGCTTCTCCTCTATTTTGTGTAGTAAGAAAAGAAAAGTGGTTTTAGGATCAGTGGTGGAGACATGGAGGTGGAGTGGAGTGGGGAGGAGAAGATGGACAAGAAGCAGAGGTAGCCGAAGGGTGAGGGATTTTTTTTTTACTGTGGAGAGATATTATTGTTCTATGTTTTTTTTTTGTAATTTTTTTTATTTAAGTTAATTAAAATAAAAAGATAAAATTATGATGGTTTTCCACCTATCATTGCTACTTACGAAATTGTTGCCATTCAGTCTTTTCGTTAGTCCAGTCAGCACGTTTACTAACACCGTCAAATAATTGGATGGAAGTGGCTATTTTTGGTATTTCGCCAAACGTGGCTATATTTGGCTAAACCATCAAAGTTTTGGCTACAAAGCTGTATTTTGCCATTTTTTTTTTTAACATATGTTCATGAATCAAACGATTTATCATTAGGGAATAAGGTATTGAGGTTTAGGGTATAAGATATTGATAAGGATTTCTCAATTTTGGTTAAAAACATATGTTTTATAATACTCTTTATGTTGTGGTTGTATTAGGATTATTTGATAAAAAATTTGAAAATGTAGATATCACCTTAATTATTAGCTAGTATACTTTACCCCTTCTAATCCCTAAGTCCTTCCTCCAAACCGCCAACCTTCTGCGTCAATCTATCCCCTTACCACTTACGCTACAATGTCATCTTAAAAGGAATAATCCCAATAAACTACAGTTGCTTTGCAAGATACATCCCACCTTCAAATACGCCATTGATGAGAATTGAAATAAAAACGTTTAGACAAGAGGAAGACGAGCCATTATTCAAATCTTGAGAAAGATTCACCTCTCTTTTACTCTAGTGCCCACACCACGGTTAGCCGATTGGCTTCAAGTGGAAAGCTTCTATATAATGGACTAACTTGTGGCTCTCGAAATTTACTTGATGCCTCCAGTGGAGGAGCTATTCGGAACAAAGAAGTAGGCGAGTTGCAAAAGTTAATTGAAAACATGGCTCCCTATAGCTATTATTGGGGTGATAGTAGGCGAGGAAAGAGTTAAGGATATGAAATGTGCTAAAAATCGAAGAACCATCCTCATCATCGGCACATCTTTAGTAATTGACAAAGAATATTGACTTTGTTGCATCAACCATGAAGAAAAATGGCAAGCAAGTGATGAAATGTGATTGGTGGTGATTTGTGGAGAATGCCGCAAACAAGTTTTCAACCTTGGAGGCCGGTCAAAGAAATCATCGAGCAACACTTCAAAACCTTGAAGCACAATTGAGCTCTATGGCTCAATCTCTATCAGCAAAACCTCAGGGAGCTTTACCGGGTAATACGGTACCTAACTCATACGAAGGATGTCATGCGGTAACTCTTAGGAGTGGCCAACCATTGAAGAAAGTTTCGAGTTCAAAACCCCGAGCACCACATAGGGAAGATCAAGGAGAAGTTATTCAAGAAGATAAGAGTGTTGAAGAGGAAGTGATGATAGTCCCCACCAAGATTAATGTCGAAGAAGACGAAAACTCAAAGAAGCCTCAAGTATCCGAAGAAATTCCGAAGGCACATTATCCTAAGAGATAATTCGAGAGTGATCTACATCAAGAATGTGCTCAATAGAATGATACCCTCAAGCAACTTAAGGTAACCATTCCTTTCTTGGAAATGGTTATAAAGATTCCTAAATATACTAAGTTCTTAATGGAAGTTTTATCGGGAAAGATAAAAATGGAGGAAGTTGCTATGGTTTCTATGACTGAGTTCACTTTTGTATCAATTGGTTGTGAAGGCATGCAACCAAAGATGAGAGATCCGAGAGTATTCATTATTCAATATACCTTTAATGACAAGACCTTTTCGAATCCTTTAGCCGATTTGGATTCAAGCATTAACAATATGCCTACGAGGATCTATAAAGAGCTCGACCTAGGACCACTCACTCCTACAAGTATGAAGATTCAAACATCATCAAATGATCAAAAAATACTCTGAGTGACTAGCCACGGATGAGGCGGCTGAGAGACTTCATGGTCTTCACCTTGGACTTCTGATAACACCTAAATTGGTGTTATTTGCCCTTCATATTAAGGTTTTTTTCATGCCAATCAATGTGCATAAATGCTTAAACATCGTCAATTGCATTCCTATTTTGTTCCAATTTGAATTCGATGTGATTTTAGGGTGTATTAGACGATATATGCTAATTAGGTAAAAAAAAAACAAGGTCACAAGTGTAGCAAGAGGGCAAAAGATTGAAGATCGTGGCCTAGAAGTGAAGATCACGACCAAGATCCTGGACTGCGAAGTCAAGGTGAAGATCGCGGCCTAGAAGCCCAAGATCGCGACCGCGAATTGAAGGGATCAAGGTGAGAACTTTGAGAAGAAGGAGTCGCGGAGAAACAGAGAGTTTCCCCAGTTGAATCATGACCACAGTGCATTTTGACCGCGAGGAAGATCGCTGATCTCGATCGCAAAGTCAGCCCATGATCTCCTCAATTTCGGAGGCCAGTATGACTGCGTTTCAAGATCGCGGTCTCACCTCTGAACATCCCGCCTGCGATCTCTTCCTTCCTGGCCACGAAATTGTCCGTCCTTTGATTGCCTATAAATAGGAGACCCCTTTCCCACTTTTAGATCAGCTGATTTTGAGAGAAGAATTTCTGGTTTTAGAAAGAGAGAAAAGAGTGAGAGAAGCTAAAGGAAGTAGAAGAGGAGAAGAAGGAGAAGGAGGTAGAAGAGAGGTGGCATATTTTTCAACCTCAAGTATTCTTCAATTTCTTCTATGTATCTGCTTCCCTCATTTATGGAATAGTCCTCTAAGTTACTAGGGGTTCTAAACCCCAAACCCCAGTTTTAGGGTTTACTATGTATGTATGGATATTTTAGGGTTTGAATGAATGAATGTGTTTATCTAGTTGTTTCTATTGCTATTATATCTTTGATTGTGTTTGGGTAAGTCGCCCTAATCTTCTCTATTAGCCTACTTTATGCTTCTACACAGGGTATGGAGTTCTAGGGTTAGACGGGTATGCTTGATAAATTAAATCGAGGTAGATGTATGAATAGGGACATATAGTGGTCGAGGCGACCGAACCCCTACTATAGGTAGCCTTCCTAGATAGAACACAGGATAAAAAAATCTACGTGGATGGTGGATAGTATCCCTTGAAGGAGCTACGAGCTTCAGCTTAGTGCCCCAGATACGATAGGCTAGATCGAGGTGACTTTATATGGGTCTAGGGGAGGCGTACTCAGAGGTGTGTGGATAACCACGAAAGCCCATGAAAACGAGCTCACTCACCACATTCGATAACCCTAAGTATCTAGATATACATAGTAGCCCTAGGCTAGGGTGAGGGATAGTTCCCCGAAGTACCTGCTTTTAGATTTATTCAATCTCTAAACTAGTAATTCCCTCAAATCCTCCACTCAAACCTCCAAAACCGATTAACTAATTAACAACATGGTGGGAAGTAGGCTAGGGTAATAGGAACCGAGTAAAATATGACCTTGATTACCACTATAAAAAAATGCCATCTTAGGTTAAACTTGGCTTAGGATGGAGTAGTTGTTGACACGTGCTAACCATTGACAATAATCTACACGGACTCAAGTGATCAACTTCACCCAAAGTTTGTTTACTATGAAGCATCAATAGTGGAGGACGGAGCTCCTGTCACTTAGTTATCTCAATTGAAAGTTCGGAGAAAAGACTTCAAATACTTGTTAGTTGGAAGGCAACCCAACAACTTCAATTTGCGTATCTTTCTCTTTTCTTTTAAATAAATTGTTAAAGTTAGGGATTGAATAGTTTAGTTGATGAATGATAGAATTTTAGCCCTCGCCAAATAAATTAGCTGAATGAATGTTGTAGTGGATAATTGAAATCCTTACGTGTTGTTAAAAATTTATCATTGCCTGAAAATGCCAAGATCGCGGGCGCGATGTTAAAGATCGTGGCGGAGATCTCGTCCGTACCTATTTAAGGGGAAGGTGCACTAATCATTTCATGTGTTCTCTGTCCCCATCTACAACCTAATCACGTACACCATGTTCTCAAAGCACTTTTGAACCTTTTGACCTTATTTCATCTTACCTCTATTTCAAGTGTCTATATTGAAGTATTGCTTAATTTCTTGGATTAATATCATGTCTTCAAGCAAGTTAAGGTACTATTTTCCATTTTCCTATCATTTTGGTACCTTAGATAGGTCAAGATGTGTTTGATTGCAAAGTGAACTTGGTGATTTTGAGGGCTTTGGGATGGCTTCTTTATGCAATAGGAATAATATTTATGCTTTCAAGGATGTTTTTTGTTAATGGGGAGACCTTGGTGGGTTAATTTGACTTAATTTTCTTGTTCTCAAAGTTCTCCCACCAAGTGTTCAATGAAATTTCCCAATCACATATCATTCACTTTTTTTTTTCTTATGATTTGCAATTAAACTTGTATGCTTATGAATGAACCTTGCATGCATGAGTTTGGTTTATTTATGGAAAAGGAGGATTAATTATATTGATTAAACCATGATTCTTTCTCCGTGCCATTTTTAAATATATGATCTCACTTAAGTGTGGGGGTGGATGGATACTTACAATAGCATTTTTCTAAGTTCAATTGTTGATATCGAGTGGATTAATGGTGTTTGTACATCTTTCGTGCTACACTTCTTGTGTAGGGTATCTAAAAAGTATAAAAGCATGGTCCGAGGGGAGAGTTCTCAACTGGTGGAGAGCTCCTACTCTCCTAACACTCGCTATGATTCAAAGAAGAAGAGGAGTAAACCCCGACTAAAAGAAGTTATCGTTGAAGCTATTAAGCATTGAGGAGAACATCTATAGCGTGTTCGTATTGGAGTTCCTTAACACACTCACTATTCAAGATCTCGAAGGAGCTACAGATTTAGAGTACAACATTGAATTCAAAATCAGAGAAGAACATCTCCAGATGTCAATTCGGGACTTGACAAGAGCTTTAGTTATAAACCCATAAGACGTTGTGGATTCATTAGATGATTTTTGCCACCTTGATTATAGAAAGTGATTTTCCATGCTTCAAAGCATTTGATGAATCTGAGGAGCCAGGCAAGGAGCCAGGCAACCGACACTGGGATGTCAAGCTGTCAAGGGCCAGTGAGCTGAGGCGGGAATGGATATTGATCCACCACGTGATTGCTAGGTTCGTGTGGGTAGGAAATACAAGAGTAAGGGCAATTTGGCTGACAAAGACATCACATTTCTTCATAGCATGCATACCCCTCAGACCTTTCACCTCGGTCTGGCTATCCTATACCCATTTAAGCAATATGAGAAGGATCATCGACTTGCTGCATTGCACGGTGGAGTGTATGTCACCCGATTCGCTCGTTTCTTCGCGATTGACTTTCAAGCTATTAAATTTTGAATGGACTCGAAGACTACACATATTTCTTTTGAGACCTTAAAGTCAAAGATTAAGGTTGTAACTCCGAGCGTTAATGGTATTTGGGGTCTCCAAGGTTTTCCCTTCCCACTCACAAACACATTAGATATGGAGGGCACAATGTTTCGCCTTCTAGTTCCCGCCAACCATCGTGCAACTAGGAAGGTAATGGAAGGGGATGGCGAGGAGGGCCAAGAGGAAAGCATGCAAGAAGAGGAGGTGACACATCAATCGATCCACCATCCGGCAACCTCAACTATCAAGTGAGGTAGAGACTACCATACCAAGGTAATGATAGCGACCATCCTCTATAACCAAAGAAGAGAGAAGGAGGCAAGGCAAAACCTAATGGCGTGCATACAGGCGATTATGGAGAAGATGGAGATCCCTTTAGCGGATATCTCCCCACCATTTGTGTGCTTTCCTTCCCCCGAACATTTTCAAGCCGGAGAAGAAGAAGAATCTTCCGAGAAGGATTAAGTCTTAGGCATTCCAAGGCCTATCTTTCATTTCTTTGCTTCTCTTTCTTTTTACTTTAAACAATGTTTATTGTTATGTCTTAATTTTCGTAGTTCATATTTTACTTTACCTAGTTGTAGTACCTTAAATACTTAATTATCTATATTATTTTGTGCCTTTTAACCTTCTTTCTTTCTTTATTTTACTTATGTGCTTTATCGTTCTATACAAACCAGAAAGACAAAGACCTACACATTTGCACCAACAACAACCCAACCAAATACCATATGGTAACGATTCATGAACCTACCTTAGAATTCCAATATTGAGGATTGATTTTAATTGCTTTTATATAAAATTTTATTTTAGAGAGTTAATGAAATTATTAGGTTTATTTTATTTTGTATAGTGAATTGAATTTAGTATTTTTGTAGTTGTGATGTGCTCATATAATTCAGTACAATGATGTTAGGGTTTAGGCTTTTGTATTTATATTAGTTTTAGGATGTCTCTAACAAGTTGTTCAATCGTAATTATAGGTAGACATGGCTTACGATTTTGACCAACAGATGATTACACTTACTACTTCCTTAATTACATTTGATATTCTAGATCGGACGATGTTGTGACAATGACAATAAAACATCTTGAGGTTTTATGGTATCATTCTACTGAAGCTCTTGAGGAAGGCACGAGACACCTAATAATAAAAGACTTGATATGTGTTATATGTATCGCGACAAATGTAGAAGGGAGAAGATGTCATACAATCCATATCTGATGAAAGAGAGACGTGTCAATACAAGTTGGAAAGGGACTAATTACATGTTCAAGGTAAAAAATTTAGAATCACTTATTGATCCAGAGGATGCTAATGGACCGACATTCAAGGTGGTGTAAGGAGTGACAGAGAGGGGAACCAGACGGAGGCGAGGGTGTCATAACCATGAGAAAATGCTTTACCCGGAGGGCCATAGTTAGAAGAAGCAATTTAGTCATCAGGATATAAAAGAGACCATGAAAATGAGAGATTTTGGGGTCACTACGGCGCAACAGAAGAAGACAATAAATGATCAAAAAGGGTGACCAATGGCATCACAACATCACTAATTTTATAACCGAGGATCCAAGATTAGGAGAGATAACATGGACTAGATGGATGCAATCAAGTATGTGTTGCAAGCCGCAAAAAGTGAGCAGTACCATATACAGTATCTGAAAGATGATGACAACATGCTCACCCATCTTTTCTTTTCCCATCTGGCTTCCATCTAGAAGATGAAGGCATGGTCATACGTGAATCGTTGGTGAAGGTCGTAAGTGTTACTCTCGTTGCGAAGAACTTCAACATATGTTGTGTTCTTATGAAGGAGGAGACAAAAGAGGCGTACCATTGGTTGTTGATGTGCATAAAATAATTGCCCAGTCCACGTGTTTACCTAACTAAGAAGGTGGACTAATCGTAACAATTCCTAAGGTCTTCTCCTACACCCCACATTTGTTATGTGTTTGGCACATCAACAACAATGTGAAGGCAAAGTTTCCGGAAATATTAGGGGAAGAACAAGTTGGATTTAGTCGAAGAAGTTTACAATTGTAACACCTCGAATTTTGGATTATGGTTTGACCATAATACGTGATCGGTTGGGTTGGCAGTTGCGTACTAATTATTATTATTACTATTATTATAAAAAATAAATAAAAAATAAGCAAGGGGCCGAGAGGGAGAGGGCGGCCCTCTCCTTTCCCCAAAAATTTCCCCAGCACCCAGCCATCATCCCAAAGCCCGCCCCAATCAATTGCCCCAAGCAAAGAGAAAGGCCGCCCCAATTAATTGCCTCTGAAATTCCCCAAACCCCCCAGCAGTAAAATAAACCCCCGACCCCCCTTTCCGATTCTTCAAATCACCCCAGCCGCTTCTGCTTCATTGAGAACAAAAAGAAAACCCGACCCTCTCAATAACCCCCCGCCCATTCGTCTTTTCCCAGCAGCAGCAGGCCCACGCCGCCATCGCCAATCCCCTCTTCAAGCAAAGAATAATCACCGCCGCCCAATCTCGATTCCGATCCCATCCCTCTCGTGTTTCTAGGTAAGGATCACGAACCCCTTCGCGATTTCGAAACGCGATTTCTCGTTAGACTAATTCGAAGCTCGGATTTTTATTAAAGGTGACGTTGAGGGTGCGATCAACAAGGAGATCAACGTCCCAGATCATCTAATCTAGTCCTAAGCGCGTTCGAGAGCTAAATGAACTCGATCCCTTTGAGTTAGGTCATTTAATTTGGTGAATTTTTTCGTGAGGGTGAAATTCTGATGTTTTAGCAACAGGCGTTCAGGCCTTTAGTGACAGAATTTGGGTGGTCACTACAGCTGCTGGGAATTTCCAGAAATTTGTTTTAGATGGTTTAAATTGTTTCGAGTCTTTACGAGGATTTGTTCTTGATTTTAAATTTTTTATAAATTGAGGCAGGTCTAGGAGATGACTGTAAATTAATTTGGGAATGTTTGAAGATGTATTTCTAATTTTAGAAATTGTTCGAACATTTGTTTTCAATAAATAAAAATAATTCTGAGGAGTTTATAAGGGTTTGATAATTTTCCAGGTTATAAGTACTCATGATTGATATAGGAAAATTATGATCCGAATTTTTAAGAAGGTTCAAGTTAGGTGGAAAATTCGTTCAAGACTAAAATAATTAGGAAAAGTAGTCGGTTTTGACGGGACTGGTTTTAGAAAATTTTTAAAGGGGATTAAGGGACCTTGGGAGCAAGTCTCAAGGGCTGGATGTCGAGGAGAGGATGTTCTAGTGACCCAAAATGGATTTCTAAATCGAGAAAGGACGACTAAAGAGATGACTTTCTTATTAATAGGTTCACCAAGATATTTCAACTAAGAGGGTTTTCTTCGAGTAAAGAATCGAGGAGTCAGCTTTTCAAGGTGAGTGTAAAGGGGGTAAATTCCACGCCTTACGTGTTCTTTCAAGAATTACAAGTCTTGAGTATTTTGATGAAGTGAATGTCGTTGTTTGATTGTGCCTATGGTTGATGATACGTGATTCTGTTTGAGCTATGCTTGATGTGAATGTGCATGAGTTCTTATTTAATTTTAAGCTTTAAGTTTATAAGTTATTGTTAAGGTTAAGAAACAAGTTCTTTTTAAGAAGTAACTCACCTTCAAGAAAGTGAAGTCGTTTTAAGTGTTTTTAGTCACTAGCGCCAGTCCGTTGCCTTTTGAGACAGTTTGAGATAGATCAGCAGTTATGCTCTTGAGACTTTTAAGATGGGCAGCAGTTATGCCCTTGAGAATCGTGGTGAAGAGCCACCACGATATGTTTAAGATGTTTGGGGGATAAATCGTTACGACTTCCCTAACTAAGTTTAAGTTTAAGGAAAGCCTGAATGGCTTCTCATACGTATGAGTTGGCAACCGGACTAGCTAGTGAGGGATCCCCGTGTCAGTCAAAAGATTTAAGTCAAGTTTTTGAGCTTTAAGAAGGGAGAGTAACTTTAACTCCCGGAGAATTTTTTAGTTATAATTGTTAAGAGTGGAAGTACAAAAAAACTTCCACTAGTAGAAGTTAAGTGTTTAGAGAAGAATACTAAAGTACTATAGATTTTATCGTAAGGGCGTAGACTGACCCCAACTCACTCACCAGATCGTAGAGGAGGAAATCCTAACCAGTCAGTCCGTGATCAGCAAGCTAGAGGAGCTCAACACCATCGTCGCTGAGAGATGTCGAGCCAGGCGTCAGAGTAAGCATCAGAGAACTTTTTCAAGTTACTAAGACTTTATAGTTAAGAGTTAAAGATTGGAGATTCATTCCTTTGGACAATTTGAGTTTTGCCCACATGTTTAGGGCTTCGATTTGAGATATTTGAGTTTGGTATTTTATTTTAAACTTGTGTTATTTGAGATTTTTAATTATACCCCGGGGTAGAAATGTCCTTTTCAAAATTCAAAGAGGTGGGATGTTTCAACAATGATGGTTGGGCTCGATTCCTTTATTCCTAGTCTGAAGAAGGTATGTTGGCTGCTTTAGGTCACTTTAGGGCGACATGGAGCAATGACAATGCACGTCTGCTGCTGACTCGCACGGAACTACACCACAAATTAATTCCGACTAGAGCCCACGTTTTTAAACTCTAGTCGGGTGCAGTATAGGGCAAGTATTTAAATTGTCAACCCGGACCGGTCAATGTACCCCTACTCAATCGCTTAAGTTGTTATCTATCAAAACGGTTTTAGGTTTAAACTAAGAAACCTACAAATGAAAACAAGCAAATAAAGTAAATCGAGGTTGTCCCAATGAGAGAAGAGTTCACCCGGGTGTTGATCCCCCTAGCTAGAAATTACGACTTGAAGGATCGAACGACCGTGTAGGGGGTCATAAACCACAGGGAAGTCTAACAAGCAGCCAAAGCTACCCTCTTAGCCTCTAGGTTGAGGAATGGGATACGATCCAAGCCACTAATGTGACCCTCTCAACCTATAGACTAAAGAATGATTAGACTTCACCCTCGAATTGGAGTTCGGACGACCACCCACAACCTAACCCTAAGTATGCAAAATAAGAGGTTTGCCCTTTAACTAACCTAGAATAGGAGGCATATAATGACCAAGGAAACCCATCTCTAATAGAGCCTCTTAAGTTAAGGAGGGTTCTCTCTAAACTAACTTAGGAGGCGTTGAATCCCAAGGACACCCAATTAACCTCTTAACCTAAGGAGGTCTCCTCACTAATCTAGGTTAGAATGACAATTAGATTGATAGGCTTTCACACAACACAATTATTTCTGAATAATACCTCCACATTCACATTAAAACACAACCACACACAGATCATTCAGTTCATACAAACATTCATACAATTGTAGCTAGGGTTTACAACACCTAAGTGAATAGGTAGGCTAATCCATAGCCAGGTAAAGGAAAAAAACAAAAAGGAGAGAAAGAACCATGGAGAGGTGGAAATCTTCCTTCCTTGTTGCTTGAATCTCCCTTGAGAAGAAGAAATCTTCAATCCCCTAGCTTGAATTGAGGCAATTTCCTTCTTCCTCCTTTGATTATCACTTTCTCTCTCTAGAATGTGAAGGGAAAACCCTAATCTCTCACTAGAACCCTCTTTATTCTGAAAACTAAAACCCTACCTAAAAGCTCTCACTTCTTCTTCCTTTCAGCTCTCCATTTATACTGAGATCGCGCCCAGTTTACGACCTTCCAATTCACGGCCATGAACACCTAAACGCGTCCGTGAACTCAGTGTCATGGGCCAAAACGCATCGCTTCACTCCCGGAGTTCATGGTTTGTGCTTACAGTTCGCGGTCTTAGCGACCGTGAACTGCCTTGTCATCCAAAACCTTTGGAACCCCTCTCGACACTTCTCTGTTCACGGTTTGTGGTTCCAGTTCACGGTCATGGCGACCGTGAACTCGCAGCTCTGACCGTGAACTGCAGATGGTTCTTGGATGTCTGCGCTTTACTTTCACAGGGCAATTGTCACGGTTGCTACTTTGGACTTTTCTTCAGTTTTTGCGCTTTTTGACCTCCAATCGTCCCGAAACTCGTACTCGACCCTTCCACACGTGCTATGACATGAAATGTATCAAAACAAGCACAACCTAGCATGAAAAATGTCGAGGAACGATGAAACGCAAAGTCAAACTATCAAGAAATGAGGGCCAAAATGTGTACAATTGGACCCGAATCAGTTGCAATACGTTGAACGAGAGTGGTGGCAGCACTGAGAGAAGTGGGTTATATGCCATACCAAAAATGTGTTTCAAATGGAAAACACATTGCACAAACATGAGTCATCACATTCATCATTTAGAACGTCCCTTTGGTGATGATGGTTGTGGGGAGGGAGAAGAGCAGCTTTGGATGAAAATGGGGATGGACATGGAGTGGGAAATGTTGAGGTAGAGGTAGAGTTTTAAAATGAGGAAGGGTAAAAAAAAGTATTTTTATTTAATATTTGCCATTTGGACAACAAATATCACTATATTAGTAATTCAGTATTTTACCTCCCAATTTTTACCTGGATTCCTATTTAACGCTCTAACTTTTTAAATTTTACGCCCTAAATTAACCAAACAGACAATATTACCCCTATTAGCCATCGCCCTTAATCAACATCGCTCTGCTCCGCCCTAATCCTGCTCATTTAATTCACCGGCGTCTGACGAAAATTGCGCGGCTGCTCTACTGCTCCGCCACCGGTCTCCGCCGACAGGATTGCCACTTCGCCAAATGAGGACGCAGAAGAGAGAAACGAATCCCGCCACGCTACGAGCAGGAATCGCGATCGAGGAAGGAGGAGGAAGAAGACGGATCGAGGAATCGCGCTGAGCACTCTGACGAACACTCCGCCCCGCCGGTTCAATCGTCTGGCGGTCTATGGTTTTCGGAGGAGGAAGAGGAACCGTCGCGCCGAGCAGGAACCGCGATTAAGGAAGGAGGAGAAAGAAGACGGATCGAGGAATCGCAGGTCTGGTTGCTGGTCGGGTCGCGGGCTGCCGGACTGTGCGGTTTGGTTTGGTTGTTTGAATAAATGATTAGAATGTATTATTATTATTATTATTATTATCAGTGATGATTTTATGACCGGAATTGCAAGACAACTTAATGTACAATTATTATTATTATGAGTGATGACTTTATTGGTATATATATAACTAATGTACAACATTTAAATATTGTGTTATAATTAATTAGTTATGTATAATTAATTGGTTTTATAATCAATATTGAGTTTTATCATTAACGTACAATCATTGAGATTTATATTTAATTTTTAAATAATGTGATTTACATTTTACAATTAATCTACATTTACAATCCTCTTTAAATGTAAGAATATAAAATAATAATCACTTGATAATGACACAAAGGTAAATCCATAAGAATATAAAATCCAAATCACTTGATAATGACACAAAGGTAAATCCATAATTCGACATAATGTTCAATCTAAAAAAAAAAATAACGCAACAATGTTTAATCACTATTGTCATCTTCATTGGCTGGATGATGTCCTCCGAGATCGACATACAATTGTCGCCCCTGGCTCGTATAACGAATCCCAATTAGCAATTCTTAGCATATCCCGAAAGTGAGACCACTGTGGACTAAAATTAGGTATTGGTGTGACCCCATCAACTTCGCCAAAATATAGTCGCACCCAATGTGCCCCAGTAAAAGCAAGAGTTATAACTTGACTAGGTTGAGTGACCCCTTCCGGCGCCGTCAAAGGTAAGACTGTGTACCCATACGTGGTTCGTTCATTATACAGTCCATAAACAACAATTGCACAGTTGTATAGGGTTGCGAATGTCAGCAAATCCACCTCCTCAAACCAATACTCTTGTGTGCAACTCCCAGCAGTCCGACGATCCAGCCTATGACGTGCTGCCTCCAATGATCCATCTCTGTAAAGATAAACCCCCTCATAGATAGGCCTTTGATCATTGATTTCTGTGACAAGATTTTGCCTCATTTGTAAGTAGTGTTCCTCGTCTCCATAAATCACATGTGACATGACTCGAAAACCACAATGCCCGTCTGGTTTTGGGTCAAACCAACCTCTAAGAAGAGGGCGGGCGCTGAGTGGGATATAGCGGAGATAAGGACAAACATTTCTCTCATTGTGGACTTGCATATGCTGACTTTTCGAGACACCTCCTGTTGGTACAAAAAATAACTACTGTAAACGGCTACATACCAAGGAGTATGATTACACCAAAAAGATAAGAATTTTGCTAACCTGCAGGAGTCGTCTTGTGTGTCTTTCTCGTGTTCTCATTTGTTTTGCTCCTCTTTGTCGTTCGTGTCCTCTCATGCTCAAACCAAGAAGGATCTCTAGTGTTCGACCTCTTTGGTGGTCGTCTCTTCAGAGCCTTTGACTCTCTAGGCTCTAATAGGCCTGCAACTTGTGGACGAATATGAGGGAGTAGTAATTAAGATGCCTTCCGGACAGCAGCTGGTCCTTGCCTGTACACATCCTCCACCATGGCTGTAAAAATTCCACGGTCAGTGGCATCATGGTCCTCCCATTTTGCACCATCAGGAGGACTCTCATACACCAAAGATGACCAGAATCGATGTAAGTGGTAAGGGTGTAACTCCATGCCGGCATCACTAAGTGCATCCATCTTACATTTACATGGCAAACCATGTGTCTCAAGTAGCCGACATCCACATCGCTGAACAATTTCTCTGGCTCGTTCTTTCATCAACAACTCAATTTCCCACAAGCTTACTTCCATATTCAAGTGACCATATGGCGGACCGTAAGCTAATTTAAATACCTATTTCAAAGAACGAATTTCTAAGTCAAAATCAAATTGAGTATACGGAGGAATATCAACACCATTGAAGAAAAAATGAAAATACCTTCAAACGCGAATCCTCTAAGTCCTTTCTTAGTTCAGTCACTTTTCCCTCAATGGATGTGTGATATCTGAGAAAGAGTGTGTCGATCTTGTGGGTCAAACTGGCAAGTCATTTCTTCAAAGATGAATGAGCTGACTCTACCATGTTTGTGCTCGTGTTACCAATATGGAAAACACGATTGGTGTAGCAATGAGCACACCTTTGCGCACATGGTATCCACTCACCCTTCAAGTAGTTCATGAAGCGTAGGTTTGTACCCCACTCACTATTCTGCAAGTCTACCCACCGCTGCTGGAACCCTCTCTGCGTGTTGGCATTCATAAGTGTCTGCCAATGCCCTGCTACAAACGCCTCTGCAGATTCTCGACTTGACCCGAAAGACATCATCTTAGCTTTAATGTTTTTCTTCATGTGCCACACACATAGTAAATGAGCTGAAGATGGAAAGATCTCATGCACGGAGACACCCAACCCTCCCTCCTTATCGATGACGAACGCATCTGGTCTTCGACCACCAAGAACATTCTTCAATTGCGACAAAACCCAAGCATATGTCTCCTTTGTCTCATCTTAAACCAATGCGAACCCTATGTTGAAGTTCTTCTTCACCGGACTAACACCAATCAACTGAACCAGTGGTTGCTTATACTTGTTGGTCTTGTACGTCGAGTCTATCAAAATAACGAAATACCATGCGCTCAACATCTTAATAGACTCTGGATGGCAAAGGAGGAGTCTAGTAACACAACGTTCATCATCAAAATCAACCCCAATGAAGTAGCCAAGACGGTCAGCTTCTATCAATGTGCAGCGCACAGGGGAAAGGCCACCCAATCTCTCATGCCTAATCCTTGCTGTCTCATTATAAACCTGATCCATGTTGTGATGAGCATCATACTTCCTATTTATAAAACTTCTTATATCTCTCACCTGAGTATGTGTTGCCTCCAACTCCTTAATTTCATTTTTTTCCTCTTTTGAAAGAGCATTCCTTTGCTTGCTTCCTTCAGAATAAACCTCCAATTTGTGATTGTGAAATCCCTTTGACTTCCCAGATCAGTCCATACCACCCAAAATTCTCCACTGACATTTGCCATTACCAATGAAGCCCGCACTACAACTTGGAATTGACAACCTTGTTTGCCTGATTTTGATTTGACCCGTCTTGTCTTCGTCAAATCTGGGGTATATGATTTGCTCCTATTACCATGGTTGCAATCCATATATACCCGCAGATAGTCTTCTCCTCGGTTTCGCTTGATTGATCCCACAACCAAGAAAAATCTATTTCTTTGGGCAATATCCTTTGCCGCCGCACAAGCTTCGGCACGGGTATCATAAACAACATCGCTTATGAACAATGATGTGTAATCAAAATTGTCACCCTCATCACCTCCAGAATCTCCCTACAATTAAATATTATAAAAACATATAAGGTTGAGCCATGCAAGAATTATGGTACAATAATGAAACTATCAAACAATAAACAAATAAAATACTTACCGAATTACTCATAATATACTCCAAAGGAAATATCCTTATTCAAACTTGATTATCTTCGATTACACGTCTTTATTTCTATGGTGTTTTGTAAAATTCGTAGGTCTTACATTCTCTATTTATAGATGTTGCAAAAACATGTACTACCCTTCTAGGAATAGAAAAACAAATCCTACACTAACTCGGAAACATAATATTACTTGAACAATGACTGCAACTACTAATTCATCTTCTAAATAATAAAATTAAATAAATATGGTGTCCTTTTCCTTTGAGGAATTATTTAATTATTTTATATTGTTAATAAGTGTCCAACCTATGTAAAAAAAAAGTGTCCAACCAGACCAGATTCAAACGTCCAACCAGATCAGATCCAACCCAACCGATTCCTGCACTTTCAACCAAACTTGACCAGTCCCTAAAAAAAAAAAAAACCAGACTTGACCCGGAGCGCTTCCTTCTTCGTCCTCACCAGAGAATCGCGAAGGCAGACTTGACCGGCGCACTGAGCACGAACGGCGGCGGGATTCTATCTACGTCCTCTATCGGCGCACCAGCAGGCATGGCGCGAGGGATTCATGGAGAACGGCGACGATGATTAGGGCGATGACGATGATGTACGATGATGGTATTCTCGGGCGACGGCGGCGATGATTCTTCTCGGTGCGCGATCAACAGCTTCTCGACAACGATGATTCCTCTCGGGCTCTGCGACCAGGCCCTTCCTTCCGAACGCGTTTCCGAGCGATCAACTGCTCGCCGAATGATTCCTCGAGGTGACATCCTCGCCAACGATAAGCATCCTTCCAGGGGGAACGACAGCGGTAGGGCGGCTGAAGCTATTAATTAGGATTACGCATTTAGTTAGAAATTGGGGATTTTTTAAGGGCAAAATCGTGAACTATTTTAAATTAGGGCGATAAATTCAAAAAATTAGGGTGTTAATTAGTAACTCTCGTTTTTACTCCCCAAGTATCACTCCAGTTCCCGCCGAAATCCTCCCCAACTCTCCAGTCTCCAGTATCTCGCTGCTGTTTTCTGTCAGGCATTTCTTACTGGTTGGCTTCTATCTGTCTAATTCCCGGTGGAGATGCCGGAGCTGGACTATGCCAAAGCAATGGCTGAGTTTCTGATACGCCACCACTCACGGCAACTCCGGTCGATAGTCCTGTCTCCCGATCCCAAGCTCCATTATCCTCTCCACATCGAGTACGATGCTTCAAACCCTTGGAGGAGGATCTCATTTCTTCTCCAGGTTCCTCACTTGGAATCGCTTTCTTGAATCTTCTCCTTTCTCTTAGTTTTGCAGAGCTATTTGACGAAAACCCTCCGGTTGCCAGCCTGGTTTTCTCTCAGCCCGCTGAGTACCTGCTCCATTTTGACAAAGCAGCTCTATGGGCTCATGTATGTGAGTCTAGTGGGTTTGTGACCTGGCTATTTTGTGCACTTTGGGGATACAAGTTGAATTGGTCTTTATTTAGCATTCTTCTTCGGCTTTAATCGCATTCAGATTCTTTGGTTTGTGATTCTCTAACTAGAACAAAGCCATTTGAGCTCCTTTGGCCTAATCTCCGTCCAATTTGATTATAAAATGAGTGCGGCTGGTGAGACAAGATATTAAGACGTTGCATCTGGCAGTATTAGTTCCTGGAATCATAGAATTGAAGTAATTTTTTCTTTGTCTTCATTCTTATAAAAACTCCAGGAGCTGAATTCAAACTCAAACTTTGTTGCCAATCTCAGAGTACCTATGTCCTCGGGAAATAAATATATGATATATTCTGTTCTGTTCATGTGCATCTATTTGATTCTTCCTTTAACTGGTTGCAATGGTATAATCAGATAATTCTCCTTCTATGAGGTTTCTTACAGAAAATCGTCCTCGAGAATCTGGATGCTGGTGAGAAAGGGACTGAGAAGAAGTTCATTCATGTTCGTATTAATGTCAATGGATCTCCACTTGAATTCTCTGGTTTGCTCTTTGTTGCTTTAATCTTCCTTCAGTTTACCCAAATATTCATTCAGTATCTTGTAATTATCATGTTAATTTTGATATATTTTCTGTGGGATGCATATTGTAGAAACGTTTCCACGCATTGGACATGTGAGGGTGAGACACAGAGGGATTCTACTGACCCTCAAGGGAACTGTTATCCGTTCAGGAGCAGTGAAGATGTATGAAGGCGAGAGGATGTATCGCTGTCGTAAATGCAAACATGAGTGAGTTTCATCTTCTGAATACTCCAGAAAATGCATACTTTAAGTTGTTCATTTTTAAGTGCCTAGGCTCTCGTTTGCTGGCAAGGCTGGAGGTAGTACAGTGTGAGACCTTGTAGGTGTTAGAATATATTAGTTCGGTGCCTTGAGAGGAAGTCATCTTTTATATTAAACTTTGTTGCAAGCATTGTGGTCAGTCACCCAATGTCTTTTTAGTTTGACTTCCTGCTACAATATTTCTAGCACGGATTCCTGGAATTCCGGGGGATACTGGAGGTAATAGAAAGCAGATGCTGTATGTCTGGCCATGTATTAAAATACAGCAGTCCAAGAGATAGAAGCCAACATACACCCTTCAAACATTTATCCTCTTATGTGATGGAGATATTATAATTGGATTTGATTGAACCAAGAAATACATATCGTGCAAAGTTTAGGCTCCAGCAGTGCAAGCTTTCCTGAAAACGTTTGTTGCGAAATAGGAAAGCAAATTCATCGACCAAGTTTTTATGTTGGATGATTCATATGTACATGTTACTACTGTTTGGTCAAGATTTGTAATGTTTACAATAAATGTAGGATAGGCAACAGTGCAGTTCTCCCTTCTTTCTTATTTCTATTTTTATCTGTCACTAAAATTTTTAGGTTCCCAGTTTATCCTGAGCTGGAGTCCAGAAACACCATAGCTTTGCCATCATTTTGCCCGTCAGAGGTTTGTAATCTATCATAGATTGGTGTACTGATTCAATTGTTTTTCGTTGACGTATTTAGCTAGTTGGTGCTCATAATGAACTTCCTAACTTTTATATACAGTCCATGGCAAGTTGATGTTGTAGTCGGAAAAGGCACTTTATTGTCCATATATTATATGGATTTTGTATTTGCATGTTTGTTATCCCCAGTTCCATTATGATATATTGGTTTTACGCACATAGGATCCTCAGGATTTAACTGATAAAGTTAGCTTTTACTTCTCTTCATTTGATTAAGTGACATAGGCATGTGTGATGTCTCTTATTTTGCACTTAAACTCATTGCAAGATGCATAAGTAACATATTGATTATGAATAATGAGTAAATGTAATAGTTTCAGTTTACTTATCTTGCACTTTAACTCACTGGTTCAATGTTACAATGACAGAGACCCAAGCCCTGTGAAGGGACAAGGTTTGACTGTGTAGATGAAACTACAATCTGCCACGATTACCAGGAAATTAAAATCCAAGAAAGTACTCAGGTGTTGGGTGTTGGTGTAATTCCTCGTTCAATTCCAGTCATCTTGATGGATGATCTGGTTGACGTGGTTAAAGCTGGGGGTAAGATTCTAGGAACTTATTATTTTATGGTTTCTTTTGGGGTACTGAACTGTTTTCTTCCCGGGCATTTGACTCAATTCCGTATTCTTTTGGTAAACATGTGAAGTCAGCTTGCATATCTTCAGTTTGCCTGAATTTCTGTGCGAAGGCCTCTGCACATAAGCCCTGCCTAGATGCTTTTCCTTAACTTAGACTTGCTTTCTTGCTCTGTACAGAATTCAGGCTAGTAGTTCCCTAAGGATGCATGATTTTTTTTGTGATGCAGGTGATGTGATTATTACTGGGCTTTTGACCGCAAAGTGGTCTCCTGACCTAAAAGATGTCCGCAGTAACCTGGACCCTGTGTTAATTGCTAATAATGTGCGGTAAGTGAAGGCATATGGATTTTGGTTTCTTAGGTATCACGACTAGATACTCAAATCTCACCTCAGGTTGGCTAGTTATTATAATTTGAATCTCGCTTCATTTTATTTTGTGAACTTAAATTTGTTGAGCAGAACCTGTTTAATGTTAATAGTTGTTGATGTACTGAAAACTTCTCATTTGTCGGTTGTGCTAGATACAGATGATGGGTGACTTGCATATCTTTCATTTTACTGTGGCTTAGTTGTCATATTTTTTAACTGGTGGTGTCACATTTACTTGCACCACTGTTCTTATATATTTACTTGCATAGCAACATCATCTTGTTTATGGTATCAAAACTAGCTACAAGCTGCACCACTGTTCTAGTTCATAGTAAAAGTTTGTTACAGATATTTTTCTGTTGTTGAATATGGTTTTTTGACATCCCCTTCATTTAGGCGAACCAATGAGCTGAAATCAGACATTGACATCCCTAATGATATTATGATGACATTCAAACAGTTCTGGTCAGACTTTAAAGATGCACCTTTGAAAGGTACTGTACTGTAACTTATGATGTATTCTTATTGGACACCAGATATAGTAGATAAGAAATTTTGCTGTTTTCTTTAATTTTAGTAAACTTAGCTGTTCGATATTAAGCCCCCAGGCTTCTTTCTGCGGCATTGCATGTATAGTTTCCATTTGGTTTACTGTTTATTTCTGCAACAATGTCTAAGGTAATTTGATCCTGAATCAGGTAGAAACACCATTCTACGAGGTGTTTGCCCCCAGGTGTTTGGACTCTTTACTGTGAAGCTTGCTGGTAAGTGTTGTTTTGAATAGTGTTGCTTGGTTAACATTCCTTTCTGGAGTCTTACATTGGCAGTTTGATTTTATAGTAGCACTGACACTTATTGGGGGAGTGCAACATGTTGATGCATCTGGTACTAAGATTCGAGGAGAATCTCATTTACTTTTGGTTGGGGATCCAGGTGATAATTGTCCTACCCTTTTCTGCCAGCCTGCATCTCTGGTTAATTTGCAGAACTTGAATCCTTCATTGTCATTGCTTTTGTTTCGTCACGTGACTCATGTCTGATAAACATTAGTTGTTAAACCCTAAGCCTAGTTGTTTTTATCTCTGAAATATTTGACTAGAGATCTGTTTGCCAAATGAGGCTCTGCAGAAGTAAAATTTCAACACTTGTCTCTGATGTTTCTTTTGATTTGTCTTTATATAGCAGTTATTCATCTAGGATAACTAGCAAGATTGTCAGCATCTTTAGGTTGCTTTCTTGGAAAAGTTACCCAAGCTGCGTTAGAAATTTCAACAAATTAATTGAGCCTTCCCATAACTAATACTCTAGAAGGGGCAATTGTCCTGATCGACGAAAAAGTAAAACTCAGGTGATATGTGATCTACAGGTACTGGCAAGTCTCAGTTCTTAAAATTTGCTGCGAAGTTAAGCAACCGATCCGTCATCACTACTGGATTGGGGAGCACTAGTGCAGGCTTGACTGTCACTGCTGTCAAGGATGGAGGTAATTTTGTCTTGTGAGTTATATTTTAACATGGTAAAAGTCAATCCGTCGTAGTTGAAAGAATGGATTATATTTTTCATTGATGAAAAAGCTGATATTCTTTATCAGAGTTGTTGGACAAAACTGTTGTATAGAACACAAAATTATCAACATATTTAAAATCTAGTGTTTCCTCTAAGATTAAAGCTGGTAAGATGCATTTCTCAAATGGCGCATTACTCAATTAGCCCCCATCTGATGATAATGACATAAACAGTTCTACCTGGTTACCTGCTAAACATCTGTGTTGACAGGATGCCAAAGCATCAGGGCGTTCTAATTACCTAATTGATGTTTCTCCGTTATATAGTATGATAAAGCCATGAAGCTTGAAATATTCAACTGGGATTTGTTCTCTGATAAGACATTGGGTATACAAATGTATGCTTCACTTCTCAATGATGCATGGGAAAGCCTGAATTGACTATTACTTCTGATGTTAATCATGATTTTCATGTTATGTGCTGTACACCAGTAAGAAGATTGCTGTAGAAAGCTTGCATTTTAAGTGCATGTATTGCTACAGCTGCCTCCATCTCTCGGTCCATTTGGCACCGTACAATATCTTTGTTTTGTAATTGATGATACATTGTTAGCCATCCATGTTCTAAACACAGCAAGTTGAAAAAAAAAATTTGTATATGCATTGTATAGGTGAATGGATGCTGGAAGCTGGAGCCCTTGTTTTAGCAGATGGAGGACTTTGTTGCATCGATGAATTTGATAGGTTCTCCGCTTTTTGCTTGATCAGCAGTTCCATCATCTTGACCATATTGATATGCTAGTCGTTGTTACTTATGTATTTATACTTCGCATACACCCTCTATAGTGTCACCCATACTAGTTTTACAAGAAAAGCTCTATTAAGGTCCAACCCCCACCCCCAATGAAAGAAAAGCATAGTTGACTTTTGGATGTAGTCTAGTAAAGTGTCTAGGCTGAGGTTTGCATGATGTAGCTAACTTCTAATGATTTTTTGGGGTGGAGAAATAATTTGGTCAAAACTGGCACCACTTGGAAGTTGGAAGCAGGTTTTAAATTCAGCAGGTCATCACAGTCTTTTCAATGGGAGTTCTAAAGATTAACTAGCAAATGTTGAAAGCAATGAATTTTACATGAAGAAATGAAATGAAGTTTAGAAGACTAAATTGTGTAAGATCTGAATCCAGGCATTTTGATAGTGTAGTGTCATAGTGATGCATGAGAAAGTGTCTTTTTTCCTTGTTCGTACACACATCATTGGGAATTGTCTTAGGAAGCTCATCTCCACAAACAAAATGCAGACCATTAATCTTTTTTAGACACAGTTTAAACTGAACCAGATATGCTTGTTTTACAGCATGAGGGAACATGACAGGGCAACTATTCATGAGGCAATGGAGCAGCAGACGATAAGCGTTGCCAAGGTTGTACTTCCTTTCAAACCTATCTCTTCACTGTCTGATGAAAGTGGTGAGACACCAAGCAAGCCTAATTGCTCCCACCTTGTTCTGCCACTAGAGATAGCATTTCTTTTCACAAGTTTTGGAGTATCAAATTACTCTGCAGAACATTATGTTTTTCATTTTACGTAGTTGTTCAATCTGCATTCACTATACCAAAGGGCATGGACGCACAGATGTTTGACATGTTTAATCTACGGAAACCCAGGTATCTGGGTAATGGGGAATGGTCAGTGATACCTCTTTAAATGCGGTCTTTTTTCTTCTTGAAAAGCCAACAAACTAGGGCTCTTAGACTAGTATTATACTGTTGATCTTACAGAAATGGGCTTCTATATTTGTAAGTATAAAAATGTATGACTCATAATGATGATAAACAAACTCTGTGGAAAGCCACTTTAAGTGACTACCGGGAGATCTGTATTTGTCATCTCCATTCACACACCATTACATTTATTTTTCTGACTTAGGCACTCTTCATGTGCTGAGGCTATTAGAGCAGAGGGAGTCATAAGTATTGGATATATGAAGCTAAGTGCTCTTATCAGAGGGAACAAAGACAACCGAAGGGAAATATAAAAAAAGGGCCTTACAAATGGAAAACATTGCATACATGTAGTAGGTTAAATTTCCCCTTCATAGGGTCATCACTAGCATATCCATTTATTGCAAATTTTGTGCACTTATGAAAGCAGAACACATCATTTATCTAAGTTCAGAAATTAGAGAAAGTTGAAATTATGTTTCGTTTCCGCGAATATTCTTAGTTTGTGTGCATATTTCACATGTATGAGGCTTATTTCTAAAACGTTGTTTCGTTGATTTACCAGGCTGGGCTTGTAACTACCCTTAGTACCAGAACAATTGTTTTTGGTGCCACAAATCCTAAAGGACAGTATGATCGAGATCAATGTATCCATTCTATTTACTAAAACATTCTTTTGATTAGCTAAGTGGGAAGGTTTTTTACTAAACCTTCTTTTTTCTGCACCTTTGTTTGCTACTTTGGACATTTAAGCATTGATGATTGGTGTCTATTCTTTGTAGTCAATATTTCTCTGCTTTGTTCCTTGATTTATGAAAATGGCTTATTTTTACCGGATTTGCGGGCAGACTCATAAGTGACTTGAGATTTTTCTTAACCCAAACTAGCTCTTTCGGTCAATACGGCACTCTCTGGTCCATTATTGAGCAGATTCGACATAGTGCTAGTCCTCTTGGATACAAAAAATCCTGAATGGGATGAAGTCGTGTCATCTCATATTCTTGCAGAGGTAATTAAGGTCCTAGAATGTTTTGGATGATTTACAGTAAATTTCACGCCATGCCTGGTTGCATTGAATGTTACCTCTGTATCCGCTTTGCAGGAAAAGTTAAAAACGCATGAAGATTCAGATAGTATCTGGACACTGGCGATGCTTCGGAAGTAGATCATCATCCTTCACCCAGGAGTTTTTAATAGTTTATTTTATGAGTGAACTTGAGCTGGGCTATATCATCTTGCAGGTACATTAACTTTGTGAAAGGGTACTTTAAACCACTCCTTACTACAGAGGCCGAGGAAGTTATATCGAGCTACTTTCAACTTCAAAGGCGATCTGCAACTGATAATGCAGGTTCTTCAGCTGCAAATTTCTTCTTCTCAAAGTATTAACGTATATTTTCATCTGCAGTCATTGATGCATACTTGCTGTTGTTTTACTTTGTATCCTGTCACGTCATATGCAGCCAGGACAACCATTCGCATGCTTGAAAGCTTAATACGATTAGCTCAAGGTAATGTTCATGTCTGAAACTCTGATTTGTCATCCGCCATTGTTCGTCTCTAACTTTGGATCAATCATCTGAATGTTGATGCAGCGCATGCAAGACTAATGTTCAGAAATGAGGTTACCCGGTTGGATGCTATAATGGCCATCTTATGCATGGAATCATCGATGACCACTTCTGCCATAGTGGACAGTTTTGGGAATGCGCTCCATTCAAACTTCACGGAAAACCCTGATGAAGAATGTATCCTTTATCACTTTAGCTCTTTGCTTTCGAAACATGGGTTTCTTCAATATGCTCAAAGCAGGAAGTCATGTTCCAACTAACTGGCGACTTTCAGATACAAAGCAAGAGAAAATGATTCTGGAAAAGCTGGGACTGATCGATGAGCCCTTTATGAGGTAGGCACAGGCTAGCAGCTGGAATCGGACGGCACTTCATAAAGCTAGCAGAGCATACGTACCACCTTGGTTAAATCACCTGCTGCTTTCATGGTAAAAGAAAGTTATCATAGGCTACTCAAATATTATCATTTTATTTCGTCATAAAGGCATGGACTATCATAGCTATTCAGTAAAATGGTGAATCCAGCTTTCGACGATTGAGCAACCACATGGTAGTTGCAACAGGTTTGTTGTGGCTCTTCTATTTTCTGATTTAATAGCATCCATCAGATGAACGAATTTTCAACAATCCAATGTTTGGATGTCCCAAGATGATGGATGGATGGTTCTGCGAAGTAGGAAGTGGAGACCAAATACTGATCCTGACATGACAATGATGAGATGTTAAAAAAAAAAAAAGAGACTAAATACTTGTTTTTCATTAGAGAATTTTTTTCTCAAACATAGTAAAATAAATATTATTGTATATAATCATAATTAATGAGGTCTATAAAAAAATTAATTTCATGTTTAAATGCATGCAATGTCATGATACCATTGTCATATAATTTTTATTGGATGTCCGTGAAGGGACTATAGTCATATAATAATGTTAATCATAATACTACAATCAACAAGTGTATTGAAGTGATAATTTTTGTTTTGTTCAAAATAGAACAAAAATATCATTGTGTAGATCATAATAATATATTTTTTATTTAAATTTTTTAAATTTTGAGTTAAAATGAATGATGGTCCAATTAAAGAAAATAGTGGATTTAAAAAGATAGCTTTGATTGGTGAGTTCAAGACGTCAAGTCCTTAAGTCTCATTTCTTAAGGAGAATCTTAAAGCTTTCCTATTGGCTAATAGTGGATTAGGTAGTTAATGGAGGTTAGTAGTTAATAGGTAGTTAATGGTAAATGGGATTATGAAAATATAATTAATTAATGATTCTCTTTCTCTCTCCTTCCGTGATTTTCTCCATAACCCTCTCTACATTATAGTTAAAAAGAAATTTGAAATTAATTTTATTTAATATTATTTAATATTTAATAAAATTCTAATTTAATAATTTTATTTTTCTAAAATGGAAATTTGAAATTTAATATATATGCCTCTCTCACATCTTGGCAACTTCCGATTAGTATTAACATTTTGTAATGATATTATCAATATTTATAAATTGAATCATCATTAGGGCTTTTCGTTGCATGGGTTTAGGATTTTTCGTTGTTAGGTATTCGTTTGTGTTATTATTAATGTTGTTCGACATGTTTTTCAATAATTTTATATGACATTATTACCTTTTTATGGTATGTTTTGTTTGTAACATTAGCAAATGTGAAATTGTGTTTTCAATTTATTGGTACTTGAAGTTTATTTACTATTACATCGTATTATCAATTTGGTTCGCAGTGATTTATAATCATTTGAAGTGCTATTATCAATGTTTTTTTTTCAAGCACAATACAACCATTAGCAAAAATTTATTTTATTTGTAACATTGCTTATGTTCAGTGATTTGAGTTATTAATATTTTTTCGTTTATGTTTGTAACTTTGTCAAATGTTATTATCAAGAAGCATACTTGTTAGGTATTCGTTTGTTTATGACATTAGCTAAAGTGAATTTACGTTTGATAATATAACTATGATTATTAATCTTTGAGTCTAAGTTCGTAACATAGTTGGTGTCATTATTAATAGGTGTGTATAAGCATTATCAATCTTTGAAAAAATAAGATATTAATAATATCTAGTAAGGTACTTAACAATCATTAGTTGCTATCATTATCAAAGTTTTTGGATGCATTATCCATTAAACACATGTTACTTATTAATTCATTTGTAGTGCTATTTGACATTAAACATTGCATCTGAATATTATTGATATTTTTTTATTACAAAATCTATTTCCCTATTAGTGACTTGATCATTCGTTATTAATGATTTTTAATATCTTTATTAAAAGCTTGATGTCATTTATAATGTTGAAGTCAGACATTTTTACATTGATGTTTTGTGTTTATTTTCAACGAAATACTTTTCGTTATTAATGATTTATTGTATTGTTATTAAAAGTTTGGTGTTGAGGCGTGAATGTTGGTTTGCTTGAGCTAATATTTTTCTTGAAAATATTTGTTTGACTGAATCACACAGGTGCACTATGTCACAAGTACCCAAGATGTTGAAAATCAGTTTTGTGCTTTATGATTATTGAGAATGATAATGTAAAGCAATATTAATTGACCATAAAACGTTAATAATGTCATTAGAAATCATTGGAAGAGGAAATGACTATATAGTTATAAGCATGATGTGAAAATGTGAATCATTAGTACTAAAGATGTTGTAAATCAATGATATTGTTATTCAACTGTTAATGACCATGTTACATAACTTTAATGATTCATTCATAGGCGTTGATGACGAAACTATAAAACAGTAACAATGTCATTAGAAATCATTGGAAGAGGAAATGACTAGATAGTTATAAGCATGATGTGAAAATGTGAATCATTAGTACTAAAGATGTTGTAAATCAATGATATTATTATTCAACTGTTAATGACCATGTTACATAACTTTAATGATTCATTCATAGGCGTTGATGACGAAACTATAAAACGGTAACAATTGATCCAAAATTGTTAATAATGTAATTGTAAGGAATTGTAAGTATATTAAAGTCGTTAATAATGATGAGGTATAATAATAACGATTCATTTCATAAATGCTTATAATGTCATTCCAAAATGTTAATACTGCATTGCAAGTTGCCACGAAGTGAGAGAGAGCATATATTGAAATTAAAAAATATTAAGTTCGAATTTATTAAATATTGAATAATAATATTTAATTAAATTAATTTCGAATTTCCTTTTAATTGTAGTGGAGAAAGAGGGTTATGGAGATGATCAACTAACTATTAACTACTAACTCATCATTAACTACCTAATCTAGTATCAGCCAATAAAAATGGTTTAAGAACCTCCTTAAATAATGAGGTTTAAGGACCTAATCCAACCCGCAAAACTATATTCTTTCTCCTCTGTATTCCTGTTCGGTAGAAGAAAAAAAGAAAAAAATATAGAAATATGTCAAAGTTACCAAATTGGCTCATTTATTTCTTATTAATTCTAAAACATCAGATGATAAGTAAATGGCGGCTCTAGATCTTGGTTTCTTAAGATTTTGTTAGATGTGTGCCTAAAAAAAAAAAAAAAAATTAACCATAAAAAAAAAAATAAAAAAATTTCATAATGGTCCAAAGTTTACAATCATTGCATCCATAAATATAATCCTACTCAAATCTATCTAATCCAATCAATAAATTCAATACACTTTTTTACCAAAATTTGTAAAACTAGCAATGTAGTGTTTGGCTCGGTGTGGAGTTGGGTAACATAAGAAAAACAATGTACCAGTGGTTTCATTGTGCAGATTTTAGGAAAGCACACATACAAATACTATGAAACAATAAGTGTTTGAGCTAAGTTCTTCCTCTACGCAAGCGTGTGTCCCCTACCTTCCTCTTCCCGGTCGTAAAACGTGTAGCACCCTACACACAAGGCGGACAACGGACCTGTGCGGTCCGCTAGCACTTCGACGCTCAAGTTAGCATCCCAGATGTAGAGAGAGAAGCTAAGGAAAGTTTAGTGAGAGAAATCAAAACTAAATAAAATGAGGTTTATCTACTCTCCTATTTATATTCAGACCCTCGCGACTGTTGCCCCCCAAATCTGTTCTTATCATCACCGTAATAAATGCATCGTACTTTCACTTTACCATGTGCCTCGATCGTTTGACACCATGCTCAGGGGTTTGAGGCGCATCACCTCACTTGTTGTGCCCTCCGTATATTTTCGATCATGTCAGGAATTGGGTCCCACTCGCCCAGGCTATCCACAATCCACTTGGATACGACCTTACTACCATTGGGTTCACCTTTTGGGTCTTGTTTGGCATTATGGGCCTCCTCTCGTAGGCTTTATTCCATATGCCTAACAATTGCCTCCCAGTTAGGCGCCTAATATTTTTCATTAGGGGCCTAACTATTTAGATAGTCTTCTCCTGTTACCCGCCTTTCCATGAACTTTGGTGGTAACGCAATGCGTCTCTTCTCATCCCCGAGTTTTCTTTCTTGCAAACATTCATTGTGCTCGAGGCGCGTACTTTCCGTGCTTATGAGGAAATGACGGTGCTCCTCCTTATTTGTTTTCGCGGGTGCCTTGCCTTGCCCAGATTTTCCCACCAAGGCGCCCCTTGCAGAGATGACCATGCGTCCCCTTCTCTTAATCGTGCGCCTCCCTCACTTTGTCGTCGTCCCCTTTTCGTTTTCTCCTTCGCGCTCTCCTTCTTTTATTGCGAGGCGCCTTGCCTCCTAAGCTTTCGCACTAGTTTTTGCTACAGTGAAGGTTAGGTTTCACCCTTTGGGCTTCCGCCTCGATCGTCGAGCCCACTCTCTCCTGCCCCCCGATCTGATTTGAATTTCGAACCAGACCGGTTGATGAGCGGCTTCACGCTTCTTCTCTCTACTTCTCCTTCCTCCCTATATATGTTAGATGCTCCTCCAATCGATGACTTCTTCGAACCCGTCATCATCCGCCTCTCAAGTGTGCCGCCCCCAACGATGCCGATAATTTTTTCTTGCACCATGTCTTTGCACGATTCTCCCCTCGCATGCGTTAGTATGTAGTACATATAATTAGGGTTGCTTAAGCTTTGCTAGGTGTACCACTAGATGCTCTTTTTCGACTGCGACCCTTGCGTCTGCGCCGTCGAAGAGTGCTATCGATCATATCGATATTCTAACTCGCAATGGCTCGGATGAATCGATGGTTCGACTTTTCAGTCGAGAGCTTACCTCTTCGTCCTTTTCTGACATAGGCCCCCTCTTGCCTCAAGAATACAGATTCCTCACTTGGGAGAAAACGTGGCCCTCGGGGCATTTGCCTACTGGTGTCGAGCACATGACCGAGGACACTTTACGCCTCGAAGTTAGTGTGAGCTCAGTTGGAGAAATTGATCTTGGTTGCTCAAATCTCGAAGTTGTAGTGATACATCCATGTGCTTTCCACTGCATGCATCGTTGTGGTTGGGGACGAATAAGTGGGGGTATACCAGGAGTACCTTCGTTTTGGGTTGCGTTTGCCCATCGACCCGGTCTTGGAAGGCGGGATGCAAACCTGCGAGTGCTCCCTTGGGCGCCTTTCTCCTGTTGTCATTCTATAAGTATCGCCTGTTTCCAACCCTCCCACCTTCCGGGTCATTCGACATTTCTTTAGCATGACACCGAGTGCCAACTGTCTGAGTTCACAAAGGCTAACAGACTGGGGGCTACCATTTTCTACGTAGCGGCCAGAAACTAAGGTGCTCGTGGTTCGACTCGTTCTTTTTTTTAGGACTCGCGACACACCCTTTTTCGAGAGCCAAGGTCA